AATTGAATTTATCTTATTTTGAACCAACCAAGGACACAATCATTTTACATTATACTATAGTTATTAAGTTTAATATTTCTGATAGGAAATGTTAGTGCATTTATCAATTTCATTACAGTATACTGTCTTAGTTTGCACTAAAACCTGTATTGACTAAGTTACTAGTACGCATACACTACAATTTTTATAAGAAATACGGACAACCGTATTATATTGCATAACAACCTTTCACATAATGTATATCCCATAGTACAGTATAGAAAACTTAAAAGCAAAAATATATCATTAGTGTAAATTTAGTATAAATTATTCATTCACCAACCCTATTTCTCTATATTTTAAACAATTATTTGATAATAGTAATCATAGCAATTTTACATTCAGTAAACAATAAATTGAATTTTAATCTTGTTTACTAATATCAGATCAACATATATAGTACATTGTAAAGTCGTAATTTAAATTGAAGTCAATATTTTGTAAGATATTTTTATTAGTATTTTCAAAATTGGATTTATTAACAAGTCAACATACTTTGCATTAAGCTACTTTAAAAAATTAAATTATGATTAAAAATTTTTATATTAAATACTAAAATTCACAATAAAAAAATAATATTAATGTCAAAGAACCATTAGCATTTAAAAAAATATTTTATTCAAATTAATAATTTTAGTTAGTCTTAAGAATATCTGCGTTGGTATTATAGGCCACAACAGAACCCCCGTCCACAATAACATTAGTGCCAGTGATGAAAGCAGCATGGTCACTGGCCAGGTATAGTATGGAGTCGCCCACGTCCTCAGACTCACCCACCCGACCCAACACAGTAAAGTTTTCACATGCTTTAATAGCATTATCAGCCATTCCTTTAGGCATTCCTATTGCCTCCATGAATTCAGTACGAATAGGACCAGGGCTAGTGTGGAAATGTATTTTAAATTAATAATCATTGATATTTAATTTATTTGTTATTTTTTATAAAATATGATTACTTGATGACATTAACGCGGATACGTTTGGGTCCCAACTCCGCGGCCATACATTTGGTGAACATATCCATCGCACACTTTGCAATATTATAGGGTGTAAAACCCTGGACCTATTATGATAATTAGCAACAATATAAATTATTATAATTGCTTGGTGTTTTAATCTAATAATTATACGAACGGGTCTCAATCCACCAATACTTGAAATGTTGATAACATTTCCTTTAGTTTTCTCCAAATGCTCGACACATATATGCGTTAAATAGACCACAGAATTGAGATTTATTTGCATTACTTTCAGATAAGTCTCGTAGAAATCCTTATTATTAATGGATGTTA